TGTTCCTCTCACCACCCACCTGTTCCTCTCACCACCCACCTGTTCCTCTCACCACCCACCTGTTCCTCTCACCACCCACCTGTTCCTCTCACCACCCACCTGTTCCTCTCACCACCCACCTGTTCCTCTCACCACCCACCTGTTCCTCTCACCACCCACCTGTTCCTCTCACCACCCACCTGTTCCTCTCACCACCCACCTGTTCCTCTCACCACCCACCTGTTCCTCTCACCACCCACCTGTTCCTCTCACCACCCACCTGTTCCTCTCACCACCCACCTGTTCCTCTCACCACCCACCTGTTCCTCTCACCACCCACCTGTTCCTCTCACCACCCACCTGTTCCTCTCACCAACCCACCTGTTCCTCTCACCACCCACCTGTTCCTCTCACCACCCACCTGTTCCTCTCACCACCCACCTGTTCCTCTCACCACCCACCTGTTCTCTCACCACCCACCTGTTCCTCTCACCACCCACCTGTTCCTCTCACCACCCACCTGTTCCTCTCACCACCCACCTGTTCCTCTCACCACCCACCTGTTCCTCTCACCACCCACCTGTTTCCTCTCACCACCCACCTGTTCCTCTCACCACCCACCTGTTCCTCTCACCACCCACCTGTTCCTCTCACCACCCACCTGTTCCTCTCACCACCCACCTGTTCCTCTCACCACCCACCTGTTCCTCTCACCACCCACCTGTTCCTCTCACCACCCACCTGTTCCTCTCACCACCCACCTGTTCCTCTCACCACCCACCTGTTCCTCTCACCACCCACCTGTTCCTCTCACCACCCACCTGTTCCTCTCACCACCCACCTGTTCCTCTCACCACCCACCTGTTCCTCTCACCACCCACCTGTTCCTCTCACCACCCACCTGTTCCTCTCACCACCCACCTGTTCCTCTCACCACCCACCTGTTCCTCTCACCACCCACCTGTTCCTCTCACCACCCACCTGTTCCTCTCACCACCCACCTGTTCCTCTCACCACCCACCTGTTCCTCTCACCACCCACCTGTTCCTCTCACCACCCACCTGTTCCTCTCACCACCCACCTGTTCCTCTCACCACCCACCTGTTCCTCTCACCACCCACCTGTTCCTCTCACCACCCACCTGTTCCTCTCACCACCCACCTGTTCCTCTCACCACCCACCTGTTCCTCTCACCACCCACCTGTTCCTCTCACCACCCACCTGTTCCTCTCACCACCCACCTGTTCCTCTCACCACCCACCTGTTCCTCTCACCACCCACCTGTTCCTCTCACCACCCACCTGTTCCTCTCACCACCCACCTGTTCCTCTCACCACCCACCTGTTCCTCTCACCACCCACCTGTTCCTCTCACCACCCACCTGTTCCTCTCACCACCCACCTGTTCCTCTCACCACCCACCTGTTCCTCTCACCACCCACCTGTTCCTCTCACCACCCACCTGTTCCTCTCACCACCCACCTGTTCCTCTCACCACCCACCTGTTCCTCTCACCACCCACCTGTTCCTCTCACCACCCACCTGTTCCTCTCACCACCCACCTGTTCCTCTCACCACCCACCTGTTCCTCTCACCACCCACCTGTTCCTCTCACCACCCACCTGTTCCTCTCACCACCCACCTGTTCCTCTCACCACCCACCTGTTCCTCTCACCACCCACCTGTTCCTCTCACCACCCACCTGTTCCTCTCACCACCCACCTGTTCCTCTCACCACCCACCTGTTCCTCTCACCACCCACCTGTTCCTCTCACCACCCACCTGTTCCTCTCACCACCCACCTGTTCCTCTCACCACCCACCTGTTCCTCTCACCACCCACCTGTTCCTCTCACCACCCACCTGTTCCTCTCACCACCCACCTGTTCCTCTCACCACCCACCTGTTCCTCTCACCACCCACCTGTTCCTCTCACCACCCACCTGTTCCTCTCACCACCCACCTGTTCCTCTCACCACCCACCTGTTCCTCTCACCACCCACCTGTTCCTCTCACCACCCACCTGTTCCTCTCACCACCCACCTGTTCCTCTCACCACCCACCTGTTCCTCTCACCACCCACCTGTTCCTCTCACCACCCACCTGTTCCTCTCACCACCCACCTGTTCCTCTCACCACCCACCTGTTCCTCTCACCACCCACCTGTTCCTCTCACCACCCACCTGTTCCTCTCACCACCCACCTGTTCCTCTCACCACCCACCTGTTCCTCTCACCACCCACCTGTTCCTCTCACCACCCACCTGTTCCTCTCACCACCCACCTGTTCCTCTCACCACCCACCTGTTCCTCTCACCACCCACCTGTTCCTCTCACCACCCACCTGTTCCTCTCACCACCCACCTGTTCCTCTCACCACCCACCTGTTCCTCTCACCACCCACCTGTTCCTCTCACCACCCACCTGTTCCTCTCACCACCCACCTGTTCCTCTCACCACCCACCTGTTCCTCTCACCACCCACCTGTTCCTCTCACCACCCACCTGTTCCTCTCACCACCCACCTGTTCCTCTCACCACCTACCTGTTCCTCTCACCACCTACCTGTTCCTCTCACCACCTACCTGTTCCTCTCACCACCTACCTGTTCCTCTCACCACCCACCTGTTCCTCTCACCACCTACCTGTTCCTCTCACCACCCACCTGTTCCTCTCACCACCTACCTGTTCCTCTCACCACCTACCTGTTCCTCTCACCACCTACCTGTTCCTCTCACCACCTACCTGTTCCTCTCACCACCTACCTGTTCCTCTCACCACCCACCTGTTCCTCTCACCACCCACCTGTTCCTCTCACCACCCACCTGTTCCTCTCACCACCCACCTGTTCCTCTCACCACCTACCTGTTCCTCTCACCACCTACCTGTTCCTCTCACCACCCACCTGTTCCTCTCACCACCAACCTGTTCCTCTCACCACCCACCTGTTCCTCTCACCACCTACCTGTTCCTCTCACCACCTACCTGTTCCTCTCACCACCTACCTGTTCCTCTCACCACCTACCTGTTCCTCTCACCACCTACCTGTTCCTCTCACCACCTACCTGTTCCTCTCACCACCTACCTGTTCCTCTCACCACCTACCTGTTCCTCTCACCACCTACCTGTTCCTCTCACCACCCACCTGTTCCTCTCACCACCTACCTGTTCCTCTCACCACCCACCTGTTCCTCTCACCACCTACCTGTTCCTCTCACCACCTACCTGTTCCTCTCACCACCTACCTGTTCCTCTCACCACCTACCTGTTCCTCTCACCACCTACCTGTTCCTCTCACCACCTACCTGTTCCTCTCACCACCTACCTGTTCCTCTCACCACCTACCTGTTCCTCTCACCACCCACCTGTTCCTCTCACCACCCACCTGTTCCTCTCACCACCCACCTGTTCCTCTCACCACCCACCTGTTCCTCTCACCACCTACCTGTTCCTCTCACCACCTACCTGTTCCTCTCACCACCTACCTGTTCCTCTCACCACCTACCTGTTCCTCTCACCACCCACCTGTTCCTCTCACCACCCACCTGTTCCTCTCACCACCTACCTGTTCCTCTCACCACCTACCTGTTCCTCTCACCACCCACCTGTTCCTCTCACCACCCACCTGTTCCTCTCACCACCCACCTGTTCCTCTCACCACCCACCTGTTCCTCTCACCACCTACCTGTTCCTCTCACCACCTACCTGTTCCTCTCACCACCCACCTGTTCCTCTCACCACCTACCTGTTCCTCTCACCACCCACCTGTTCCTCTCACCACCTACCTGTTCCTCTCACCACCTACCTGTTCCTCTCACCACCCACCTGTTCCTCTCACCACCCACCTGTTCCTCTCACCACCCACCTGTTCCTCTCACCACCCACCTGTTCCTCTCACCACCTACCTGTTCCTCTCACCACCTACCTGTTCCTCTCACCACCTACCTGTTCCTCTCACCACCCACCTGTTCCTCTCACCACCTACCTGTTCCTCTCACCACCCACCTGTTCCTCTCACCACCTACCTGTTCCTCTCACCACCTACCTGTTCCTCTCACCACCTACCTGTTCCTCTCACCACCTACCTGTTCCTCTCACCACCTACCTGTTCCTCTCACCACCTACCTGTTCCTCTCACCACCTACCTGTTCCTCTCACCACCTACCTGACACCTATGTGCCCCCGTATGCGCCACCCCCACCCTCGCCAGGTCCCTATACCTAAGCATGCTACTGCTGGTGTATGGAGGGGAGGAGGGGGACGAGGAGGGAAACGAGGAGGTGGGCGTGGCACGGGTGGGCGTGGCACGGGTGGGCGTGGCACGGGTGGGGGCGGCATGGGTGGGGGCGCACGGGTGGGGGTGGCATCACGGCTGCTGCTGTCGGCTCTTGAACCGAATCTGCGTGAAAAAAGGAGTGTTTTGAGACGTCTCAAAACACTGCTGCTGTCGGCTCTTGAACCGAATCTGCGTGAAAAAAGGAGTGTTTTGAGACGTCTCAAAACACTGCTGCTGTCGGCTCTTGAACCGAATCTGCGTGAAAAAAGGAGTGTTTTGAGACGTCTCAAAACACTGCTGCTGTCGGCTCTTGAACCGAATCTGCGTGAAAAAAGGAGTGTTTTGAGACGTCTCAAAACACTGCTGCTGTCGGCTCTTGAACCGAATCTGGAGCCTTCCTTCCCCCCCCAACCCCCTCCCCCCACCCTCGCCAGGTCCCTATACCTAAGCACGTTGCTGCTGGTGTATGGAGGGGAGGAGGGGAACGAGGAGGTGGGCGCGGCACGGGTGGGGGTGGCATCACGGCTGCTGCTGGCGGCTCTGAAGCCGAATCTGGAGCGCATGGGAGGCGCGTTCTACTGGGGCTTACTTGTACCCTCTCATCACAGTAGACGAGCTGGTTTTTTAGAATTCTCAAAAACCAGCTCGGGCTTACTTGTACCCTCTCATCACAGTAGGCGGGTGAGGCACGCGTCAACTGTTCGCTCCCCATCCCCCAACCCCCACCCACCACCCCCCAACCTCGCCAGGTCTCTGTACCTGAGTACTCTTCTGCTGGTGTATGGAGGGGAGCAGGGGAACGAGGAGGTGGGAGTGGCACGGGTGGGGGTGGCATCACGGCTGCTGCTGGCGGCTCTGAAGCCGAATCTGGAGCGCATGGGAGACGCGTTCTATTGTGATGAGGGCATGCAAGCCTTCTTTCTCCTCAACAACTGTGCTTACATGCTGCACAAGGTGGCAGAGTGAGTGGGGGTTGATTTCTGTGCATGGAGGTGCATTTGCATTTGAATGTGCATTTGCTTTTGAATGTGCATCTGCATTTGAACGTGCATTTGCATTTGAGTAGGCATTTGCATTTGAATGGGTATCTCGCAGTGTGCTCTCCAGTGTGCTCTCTTATGCGTGTTTCGGTGTCTGTGAGAGATGACTTTTGAGTCGACTCAAGAGTCACCTCTTTCCAGTGTGCTCCCTTCTGCGTGTTTCGGTGTCTGTGAGAGACGGACAGGCATGAGGAGGAGCACCTTTCTTACACGTGTTTGATGTGACTGTGACTGGCAGGCATGACGAGGAGCACGTGAAGCAGGTCCTTGGGCAGGCTTGGTTGGACGAGGTTGCAAAGGAGCTGGTGAGACATCGAGACACGTACATTCGGTGCATCAGAGACAAGGTGAGAGAGGTGGCTACACTCGGTGCATCAGGGAGAAGGAGCTGTCGAAGTTGAACAGGTGGGCTGCGGAGGCCTTATTTCCATCAACTCTTGCTGTTTAGGACAGAGAGAAAAACCCCATGCAAATCAGGGAGAAGGTGAGCGAATCCGACTTTTGATTCGACTCAAACGTCTAGGAGCTGTTGAGACATCGAGACACGTACATTCGGTGCGTCAAAGAGAAGGTGGGTGAGATGGCTACAGTCGGTGCATCAGGGACAAGGTGAGTGAATCTGACTTCTGAGTCGACTCAGCGGTGTTGTGTGCCATTGTAAACAAGGTACTTCTGTTGAGGCGCCTCAACAAGGTACTTTTGAGTCAAAAGTGCGTGAAGCATATTTCACACCCTTCTGGATGCCAGCCATTCAGAGGCAGCAGAGCAGAGCACGTGGAGCATAGGGAATGTGAGCGTGACGTGAACGCCTTTACCCCCCACCCGTAATGAGTCGTGTTTTGAGTCGACTCAAAACGTGACGTACCCCCCACCCCCTCACCAGGTGGCACCAGTGCTGTGGGGTCATCAAGCGAACGCTCAAGCCTTTGTGAAGCAGCTTCAGGCATTCCGCAGCCTGCTGGATGCCATTCAGAGGCAGCAGAGCAGAGCACGTGGAGCATAGGGAATGTCAATAGTGCATCAAGCATACCCTTTAACCTCCCCCACCCCCCCACCAGGTGGCACCAGTGCTGTGGGGTCATCAAGCGAACGCTCAAGCCTTCACGAAGCAGCTTCAGGCGTTTCACAGCCTGCTGGATGCCGTTCAGAGGCAGCAGAGCATGTGGAGCATTGGGAATGCCGATGCGCGGGCAAGCGTGCGGGACGAGGTGGTTTTGCAGGTGCTTCAGCAATACAGGGACTTTTTGGACCGGCACAGGTGGGTGGGTGGAATGGAAGCAGGTGGGGAGAAAGGTGGGTTGGGTTGGGTGGAAGCAGGTGGGGAGAAAGATGTGACTTTGAGTTGAGTTAGAGGTTTCTCAGGTACTTCAGCAATACAGGAACCTTCTGGACCGACACAGGTGGGTGGAATGGAAGCAGGTGGGTGGAATGGAAGCAGGTGGGTGGAATGGAAGCAGGTGGGTGGAATGGAAGCAGGTGGGTGGAATGGAAGCAGGTGGGTGGGGAGAAAGAGGTGCTTTCTGAGTTGGTGCCCATGCCCAGAAATGGCTTCTCCCAGGTGCTAATGCGATACATGGCGCCGCATGGCTTCGCATGCCATGGCATGTAACACGTATGGCGCGGCATGTCATGGGATGTAAACCCCGCGTATGGCATGGCATGGCATGCAACACGTATGGCATGGCATGGCATGGCTTGGCATGGCATGTAACCCCGTGTGGCAGGTCTATAGTGGAAAGCCGGGCCTGCAAGGTGCAGGTGCCAACATGGCAGGAGATGCATGTTCGCCTCACAGAGGTATTCAACTTTGTAAAGAGGCAAGCACAATGAGATACTTTCGAGACGACTGAAAAACAAAGCAAGCATAATGAGATGACATGATGTTGGCATGTGTATAATGTGTTGAAACAGGCCTTGGTATTGGTTTAGCGGCGGCCTTGGTATTGTGTTGTAACTAGTTACTAGACCGAGGGCTGTCACACCAGGTGGATGTCAGAGCAGTAAGACCGAGGGCTGACACGGCAGCAGGTGGGTGTCAGACTCGCATGTATAAGAAAATTATGTTTTGGATATGTAGTAAATAGGGTGTAGCATTGCAGCATTTGTTAGGCTAGAACAAGTCTTGCAGTTTTCAATACCGGAATACACTCCAAATGCTACATAAATGTCCATATAATCAGATAAAAGATCGCATTATGCCCTGTACAAGTGAGATACTACTGATATACTACCATTTCAGCTCGTCCAGCGCAGGGCTATTGGGAGTAAGTGAGGCAGCAAAGGTGCGAGCCACAGTGGCTACCCACTGGGTGTAGAAGAAGTAGCACCAGACAGTCCATGACACCAGGCCCTATAACGGGGAGTGCATAAAGAAGCAGAGAGGTACAAAACGGTGTAAGGTGGTGGAAAGCAGGAGGCAGTGGCCACCCGCTGGGTGTAGAAGAAGAAGCACCAGACAGTCCATGAGACAAGGCCCTGCATTGATAGGAGAGGCAAGGGAAGAGATGCTAAACGGTGTGAGGTGGTGGAAAGCAGGAGGCAGCGGTCACCCACTGGGAGTAGAAGAGGTAGCAACAAGCAGTCCAAGGCACCAGGCCCTGCATTCGGGGTTGTATAGGAGCAGCAAGCATTGCATGGCATGGCATGGCATGGCATGAAACGGCATGGCATGGCATGGCATCACGTGGCATGGCATGGCATCACGTATGGCAGAGCGGGTGGAGTGGGGACAGTGGGTTCACCTCTCCAGCAATGAACATGTCTGGTTCAGTGTAGTGCCAGAGGCCAAAGTACCTGGGGTGGGGTGGGGAAGGGTGGGTGGGGCACAGTGTGGTGGGGTGGGGTGCGGTGCGGTGGGGTGGAAACAGGGTGGAATCAGGGTGCAAGATGCCTCTCTTGCAACGAACATGTCTGGTTCGATGTAGTGCCAGAGGCCCCAGTACCTGGGGTGGGACAGGGTGGGGCAGGGTCAGATGGGGTGGGGCAGGGTGGGGCAGGGTCAGATGGGGTGGGGCAGGGTGGGCCAGGGTCAGATGGGGTGGGGCAGGGTGGGGCAGGGTCAGATGGGGTGGGGCAGGGTGGGCCAGGGTCAGATGGGGTGGGTGGGGAAAGGTGGGGAAGGATGGGGCGGGGTGGAGCAGGGTAGGGACTGGTAGTCTGTGAAGATGCCACAGACCAAAACAGAAAAAGAAACTATTTCAGGAATGAAGGTGTCTCCAGCATCGAAACGCCGCTACGATTCGTAACTACTTTTCAAAATATCACATCATTTAATGCATTTCTCTGTGGCTGGAGGGTTGAAGGCGGCAGAAGAGGACAAAGAAAGAAACCAGTTGGCACATAGCACAGTCACCTTCGCTAGCAGCACATTTCGTCTCAAAACTATTATAAGCACTTCCTCAGACTCACTTCATTATGAGCACTTCTGAGGTGGGAGCACCGATGGCGACAAAGAGGGCGAGGAGGTACCCAGGGAGGGTGCGATCAAAGGCAAACCAGTTGGCATGTACCAGTCTTGCTCAGACTCACTTCACTCCCCACCCCATACTCACTTCATAATGAGCACTTCTGAGGTGGGAGCACCGATGGCGACAAAGAGGGCGAGGAGGTATCCAGGGAGGGTGCGGTCAAAGGCAAACCAGTTGGCATGGGCGCACAGAGCGAGGATAGCGAAGATGCCTGTAGAGGGGATGGAATGACCCTCGAAGAGCTGAGAGCTGAAGTGGAGAAGGCTGATGAGCACTCTGGGGGGTGGGCAGGGGAGGGGAGGGGGGATATGGGAGGGGGAAGACGTGATAAGCACAGTGAAAGGATAGCGAAGATGCCTGTAGAGGGGATGGAATGACCCTCGAAGAGCTGGGAGCTGAAGTGGAGGAGGCTAATCAGCACACTGAGAGGGGGGGAGGGGTGCAGAAGGGGGATATGGGACGGATAGGGAGCAGGGAAGGAGTGAAAAGCAGGGTGAAGGGACAGTGCAATGACTGTAGAGGGGATGGCATGAGCTTTGAAGAGCTGGGAGCTGAAGTGGAGGAGGCTGATGAGCGCCCTGGGAGGGGGGAGAGGAGGAGAAGGGGGATGAGAGTGCGATGCTTTTAGAGGGGACGGGTGAGGCAATGCACATAGAGGGGATGGCATGAGCCTCGAAGAGCTGGGAGCTGAAGTGGAGGAGGCTGATGAGCGCCCTGGGAGGGCGGGAAGAGGGGGGAAAGGGGATTTGGGAGGGATTGGTTGCAGAAAGGACAGAGACATTGCCTGTAGAGTGGTTGGCATGAGCCTCGAAGAGCTGGGAGCTGAAGTGGAGGAGGCTGATGGGCGCCATGATAGGAGGGGAGGGGGGGAAGGTGAGTGTGGAGGGGTGGAGGCGAGAGGGGCAGTCGGGGTATGGAGGAATGGAGGAGGTGGGAAGGGACTGATGAGCGCCCTGATAGGAGAAGAGTGCTGGGAGAAGCAGGTTTATGGGAGGACAGAGCTGGAAACATATGATAAAGCACGAGATTGAATAATAATTCGTCTTTAAAATTACTGTTTTGAGAAAAAAAAAACACTAACAATCAAAGAAGCAAACAAAGAAACCTGTGCTCACCCCATGCAGCTCAGCAAGCGCAACCAAGAGCCCCTGGGGGGGGAGGAGGCGAGCGAAAACCATCACATGTACCAACCAATGCTCTTAGGCACCTTATAACGCGTACAGACACCAGATCACAGCAAGCCACTCACCCCATGCAGCTGAGCAAGCGCAACCAGGAGCCCCTGGGGGGGGAGGAGGCGAGGGAAAACCAGGAGGAGGCGGATGGGGAGGAGGAAGATGCTGGTCCTGGTTGCAGCTCTTCCCGAGGCGAGGCAGAACTATCAGAGGGCGACACTCCCAGAGCAGGAGAATTATCCAGGTGCTGAGACCCCGATTTGAAAGCTGATTGGTCTATCAACAGCTGCAGGGCGCCAACGACGGCGTACATGGCGCCCAGCAGAGGGAAGACCCACACGCTCGTGTACAGGCCGTCCGGGCCCCCTATTATGAGGCCCCCATTCACGTCGTACACCTGATGGGGGGCGGGATGGTGATACAGGCGAAGGGGTAGTGGCAGAGGGACTGGGAGAGAGGCTAGGTGTGTATGTGTGGCATGGTGCTGCTGGGCAGCAGCGGGAAGACCCACACGCTCGTGTACAGCCCGTCTGGGTCCCCTAGTATGAGCCCCCCATTCACGTCATACACCTGATGGGGGTGAGAGAGAGGTGGGAGAGAGAGTGGAGGGTGAGAGGGAGGAAGGTGACCTGCCACGTGGACAGAGGCATTTCTAAGGCAAGCGCTAGCCAATCAATTATTTGTGACAGGGTGGAATGCAGAAGCGTGGCCAATGTGAGGGGGCGATAGCAGGGAGAGGGAGAAGGCAGGGAGGGAGAGAAAAGGGAGAGGGCGAGAGCAGCGAGAGGGAGAGGGCCGAGAGAGGGGGAGAGAAGTGTGAGAGAGAGGGGGAGAGAAGGGAGAGAGAGAGGGCAGAGAGGGAGAGGGCAGGGAGAGGGAGAGGGCCGAGAGAGGGAGAGGGCCGAGAGAGGGAGAGGGCCGAGAGAGGGAGAGGGCCGAGAGAGGGAGAGGGCCGAGAGAGGGAGAGGGCCGAGAGAGGGAGAGAGCAGGGAGAGGGAGAGGGCCGAGAGAGGGGGCACCTGAAGGCCGACAACGGAGTGAATGCCATCCAGAGGAGGTCCCAGGGCGAATCCAGCCGCAAACAGGCAAGCCAGCACAGTGGGCCAGCTGAAATGGGCGGCTGGCAGGGAGATATACGCAGCACGGACGGGGAAAGACAGGTTGACGTGAGCATGTGAGGAGCACGTGGGAGCCCGTGGGGAGATTGTGGGGATCAGGAGCTAAAAAGGTGAGATAGACTATTAGACTGACGCTGATCGTCTCTCGCGTTGAACTATCCAGTTGCTGTTAGCATCTGTTCAAATCTCACCGCTTTCACTCATCTCACACCTCCCTCACTCACCTCACACTGCTCTCACGCACCTCGCACCGCTCTCACTCACCTCACACCGCTTTCACTCACCTCACGCCGCTTTCACTCACCTCGCACCGCTCTCACTCACCTCACACCGCTCTCAATTCACCGCCCCGACTCACCTTCCTCCGCATCTGGCCGTGCCCCTGTACCAGCAACCCCGTTAAAGGCGCCCGTGCTTTCAATCACATCTGGCTTCTGCTGCTGCTGCGTGTCCTTTTGTTCCTGCTGATCCTGCTTTTCTGAAGCAGGCGGCGTCGGGGATTGCGAAGAGCCGGAGGAAGACGCACGAGAGGGTCCCAATTGAGCCGATTTCCGGCGACTGACGGAAACTGACGAACTCATTGACGGAATCCGTTTGACTAACACGTGCATTCCAGTTCGAATCCCGGCTGAATTACACGTTCCCGCAGAGCAGTGCTTCCGTGGGCTGTCAGAACAGAAACCTAAGACCGTACGCGGGGCGTACGCCTTCCTCATGCTCTCCGAACAGGGAAGAAGCCGCGGACCGACGTTTTTCAGGAAACTAGCCGCCATAGTCGCTGCTTTCTAAAGCCGAATTCGCAGGAGTTGAGCAGGATGAGAAAGGACGACCAACAACTGCATTCAGGGGCAAACGTTTTCTGCAAACCGTCTCTTCCGAAGTAGGCTGCGCTTCGTCACCTACCGTACAACGGAGAGCCCTGGTGGGAAAGGTGAGACGAGCCATACGCAGATTGGACGAAAAATGCAAATTGCAACGTGAGCGGCAAACATTTGTGGGCGAGTCCGTGCCACGTTATTTCAGGTTCCTCGTACCCCCAGGTTTTGGGAAAAGGGAGGGAGCTTTCAAGGAGCTTTTGATGATTCGAGAAGATGCGCTTCGATATCAAGGGCAAAATGCTTTAAAGCTGCGGTCTACATACCAAAGGGTATTTTCTGGGGGTATTTCGGGTGCACACCCTAAGACACAGTCTGATTTGCACACAAAATGATCCCTTTCCAGAAATGAGAGCGCGAAGGATTCAAACACAACTGGCGAATCCCGCCAGTTTCGTGCAAGGTTTGGTTGGGGGGGTACTTTTTTCGTGAGGTTGGGGTTGTGGTGGCGATTTCGCCACAACCTGCAACCAATCGAGGTTGGGGGGTAGATTGGCGCGAAATTTGTAAGCCAAACCTGAGAAGGCCAACTTTCAGAGGGGGGGTTGGGTTGTCAGAAAGCAGTAACTGCACCTCGCCACCCAAGGATGGAGCGAAGCCCTGTGCTACCTGGTTTTCAAGTGATAAACCAGGTCCTCCCGCAGGAGGCGACAGCTTTAAACGTATGTCTCACTAGCTACAAATAATTTCATACATACTTCAAATCTACCGGTATTGGGAAATTTTTGGGTTGCGTAGCAACCCTTTATATTTGGTTTCACATTTTGGGAATATCATTCGAAGAGTGTTATTTACGCACTTTTTGGAGCACTCGTTTGAATGTTTTGAAAATGTGTTCAAACGGATGCCTCAAACAGTGGATAGAAAACACACTTGAATGAGAGCCCCAAAACACGTAAGCACGTACGTATCATGTTGAAACCATGAACTTGCTCGACCGTCACAACCTCGTCGATAAATACGGCGGATCGTACGGCCGAGCATAATATTCTGGCATCGACATGAACGAATGCAATTGTACAAATGAACAACAAGGTATGAGGTGGAGTGGATGCTTCAAAATGAATGTTAAAATGCATCATGCAGCAACAGAGGTTGATGGGGTCGTTGAAACAGCGAAAACACGCTGTCTTAAAGACGATTAACAACCTCTAATTGCATACATAACACATACTAACACCACACTTTGAACCACACATCCCACAAACACGAATGCAAACGCGCGTAAAACCCCACAGTGAAACTAACACAATGACAAGACATGAACACACACCCGCACAAACACACCCGCACCGCACACACATACATACACAAATAGGATTGAGAGCAGACAAGCATAACAAAGAGTTGCAATAAGTTAATTATGTATCTATCACTGCTACCTTGTCCCCCCCTTACTACCCCTTTCTGCCTTCCTTCCTCTCCCTCAACCATCGTAATCTCCTCCCACCCTTTTCCACATTGTCTTCTCTCTCGATCCCTCCCTGCTCCCCACAACGCGTCTCGCACACCTTGCAAAACAAACGGGTCAAGCAGAAAAAGAATTGCAGTCGGAAAACGGAGTGAACTATTCAATGACGAACACGCACTTGATTGTGAAATGGAACTTATGATAAGTACAAAAGAAAACCGAATTCGACGACTCACAAGCGTGGTTTGAAGCATTGATCCCCTGGGGTCGCGCACACCACGCTGGTCTGCAGCAAGGCTCCAGCGAGCAAGGTGCCTTGGTGCAACGAGCTGGGCATCGCCATGCTACAAGGTGCCAGAGAGTTGCAGCAAGGCACTGCCAGAGGAGCAAGCGGGCTGCCGTAACAAGGCGTGAGCTCACTGCAGCAAGGCGTGAGCTCACTGCAGCAAGGCGTGAGCTCACTGCAGCAAGGCGTGAGCTCGCTGCAGCAACGCGTGAGCTCACTGCAGCAAGGCGTGAGCTCGCTGCAGCAACGCATGAGCTCGCTGCAGCAAGGCGTGAGCTCACTGCAGCAACGCGTGAGCTCACTGCAGCAAGGCGTGAGCTCACTGCAGCAAGGCGTGAGCTCACTGCAGCAAGGCGTGAGCTCGCTGCAGCAACGCGTGAGCTCGCTGCAGCAAGGCGTGAGCTCACTGCAGCAAGGCGTGAGCTCACTGCAGCAACGCGTGAGCTCACTGCAGCAAGGCGTAAGCTCACTGCAGCAAGGCGTGAGCTCACTGCAGCAAGGCGTGAGCTCACTGCAGCAAGGCGGGAGCTCACTGCAGCAACGCGTGAGCTCACTGCAGCAACGCGTGAGCTCACTGCAGCAACGCGTGAGCTCACTGCAGCAACGCGTGAGCTCACTGCAGCAAGGCGTGAGCTCACTGCAGCAACGCGTGAGCTCACTGCAGCAAGGCGTGAGCTCACTGCAGCAACGCGTGAGCTCACTGCAGCAACGCGTGAGCTCACTGCAGCAACGCGTGAGCTCACTGCAGCAACGCGTGAGCTCACTGCAGCAACGCGTGAGCTCACTGCAGCAAGGCGTGAGCTCACTGCAGCAAGGCGTGAGCTCACTGCAGCAAGGCGTAAGCTCACTGCAGCAAGGCGTGAGCTCACTGCAGCAAGGCGTGAGCTCACTGCAGCAAGGCGGGAGCTCACTGCAGCAACGCGTGAGCTCACTGCAGCAACGCGTGAGCTCACTGCAGCAACGCGTGAGCTCACTGCAGCAACGCGTGAGCTCACTGCAGCAAGGCGTGAGCTCACTGCAGCAACGCGTGAGCTCACTGCAGCAACGCGTGAGCTCACTGCAGCAACGCGTGAGCTCACTGCAGCAAGGCGTGAGCTCACTGCAGCAACGCGTGAGCTCACTGCAGCAACGCGTGAGCTCACTGCAGCAACGCGTGAGCTCACTGCAGCAACGCGTGAGCTCACTGCAGCAACGCGTGAGCTCACTGCAGCAACGCGTGAGCTCACTGCAGCAAGGCGTGAGCTCACTGCAGCAACGCGTGACCGTGTGCACAAATTTACCAGCGCGCTGCCGCAACAAGGCTGCCGCAGGAATTTGCCAGCGCCGCAAACAAGGCAGCAGCGCACAAGCCGCCAGCATGCTACAAGGTGCCAGCGCGCTGCGAGGGCACCTGCAAGGCGCCGAACGTAAGGCGCCAGCGCGTAAGGCGCCAGCGCGTAAGGCGCCAACGCGTTAGGCGCCAGCGCGCTAGGCGCCGGCGCGCTAGGCGCCGGCGCGTTAGGCACCAGCGTGCAATGCACCAGCGCGCTAGGCGCCAGCGCGTTTGGCGCCAGCGCGTTTGGCGCCAGCGCGTTAGGCACCAGCGCAGCAAGCGCCAGCGCGCTAGGCGCTAGCGCGTTAGGCGCCAGCGCTCTAGGCGCCTGCGCGTTAGGCGCCTGCGCGTTAGGCGCCAGCGCGCTAGGCGCCAGCGCGCTAGGCGCTTGCGCGTTAGGCGCTTGCGCGTTAGGCGCCAGCGCAGCAAGCGCCAGCGCGTTAGGCGCCAGCGCTCTAGGCGCCTGCGCTTTAGGCGCCAGCGCGCTAGGAACCAGCGCGCTATGCGCCAACGCGCTAGGCAGCAGCGCGCTACGCGCGCTCTAGGCGCCTGCGCGGTAGGCGCCAGCGCGCTAGGCGCCAGCGCGTTTGGCGCCAGCCCGTTAGGCGCCAGCGCGCTATGCGCCTGCGTGCTCGCTCCCGTGCGCACACACTCCCTCACACTCCCTCTCTCCCCTTCTTAAAATGGAGACACAGTGCTAAGAGGAGACCAATCGGCATTGAGAACTTACGAGGAAAGTGGAAAAAATAGGACATTTCGGAGAGAGTAGCAAACGCACCTGAGACAACCGTGCCTAAGAAAACAACGCGTGGTTGTGCAGCAACCCACCAAAGGCGACGGCGGGAAGGGAGGGAGAGGCGACGACGAGGAGGAAGGGAGAGCGACGGCGGGGAGGGAGGGAGAGGCGACGGTGGGGGGTGAGGTGAGGTGACGGCCGAGAGTGAGGGAGAAATGACGGCAAGGTGGTTCTGAAAAAACGAGTGGGAAGGTATTTGGGGAGATCAGAGTCGAGCAGGTGCTTGAATTCAAGAAACGGGACTCCCAAGGGAGCAGAGTTGACAGTGGGGAAAGGTTTGGTTGGGTTGGTGTAGCGCTGGCAAGAATTTTCTGCCAACGAGGCACGAACCAGTTTTCACAATTGAAATACACCAGTTCCTTTATACTCGCCAAAATCAAGAAATTTGTAGATGCTTATTTTTAGCTGTTTGTGACACACACGATTTGGCTGCAAATACACAAACTCACTAGACACAATATTGCTTAGGAAAACAAATATACTTATAGGTCTTTAAATCTTCTGCCATTAACTACAATCAATGGTAGTAAAAAGTTACCATGAGCAGTAACGAAATAAAGAACTTACAAGCATGTTATAAAAAGACATATTTAGTTGTTATAATATCAAGCAGTTCATCATGTCTTAGCACGAAAATATAAGTCTTACGCAACCCTTCCGACGTTAACGTCGAATCTTGTTTTTCTTAGTTCTTCTTAGTTCGATTGAATCAACGGCACAAACATAATTCAGTATGTACATCTTATCCAGCTAACACTAGGACAGCACCATAAGTGCCTTAGTGTAAGGAAAAACTTTTTTTCGTTACTTCGCATCCCTGCTCAACGCGTACATCCCTGTAGCACCACAGTCAGCACCGTTACCACTCGCAGTCCTCGCATCGACAATCCGCCCGCCACCTTCGCACGTCGCACCCCGACCTCACGGCTCGGCGGGTAACCCGCGCCCCGGGCCTCCGCTTCGACACTTTTTCCAACCTCAGTCCTAGGCCCGTCGCGCGACAACCACAGTCCATTACCGTTACCACTGTAGTTTCGCTATATATTCTTCGCTCATGCCTTCGCTCATTGTACTCTTGCTTCGATAGTGCAATTCTCGTTCGTTCACTCAATTGCACTCGTAACACTTGGTATTCAGAGCCTACGATCTCTTCTCGGACCGCACCCACACCTTCGCTTCCCCACTATCTCATTTTTTTGGGGGGGGGTAGACGTCTCTCAGCGACACAGCACCGCCGCTCGTAGTGCTCGCTCGTAAGCACGCACGGCCACGACTGAGGCTCTCGCTGAGCTCGCCCGACACCCCCGCCATGGCCGAATTCACACTCGCCACATTGACGCAGGAGCAGCTCGACCGTCTGGTGCGCCAACTCGAAGATTCGGCGCTCGAAATTGCGACGCTCACAGCGGAACGTGACTCTGCGCGTCAACAATCAACGGTGAACACTCCAGCAGCACCACACGCACCAACAAATGCACCTGCACAATCGGACGAGCCAATCGTCATCTCGTCCGGTACACCAACACAACACGACAGCGTGGGACAGCGCTCGGGCGCAGCCAGTGATAGCGCCGCCCAACCAATGCCTGGCATGAGAGGAAACAGGGGCGCGCCAAGCCCGCGGGAGCCTCGCGAAGCCCGTCGGCACGTGGAGTTCGCGGCGACAAGTGGCGAACAGGCCATCATGGCACCAATGCCACTCAAGCCGCAACGCCCGCCCTGTTTCGACCCGAGCTAGCGTGGAGGTCCGACGGTTCAATCGTGGGTCTTCACGATGAACGTCTTCTTCGACGCGAATTACGTCGAGTCGGACGCAGCGAAGATTCGGTATGCCGTTTCGCTGTTAAGGGGCCCCGCCATGGACTGGTGGCGAGTCATCGTGACGTCGCCACGCACCTACGAGCCACCGTCGCAAGAGGAAGGGCCCACGGGTCCAGCTGTCACCTGGAGTTCATTCTGCGAGACCGCCCAATACAGCACGTGGGATGCGTGGTGCGCAGGGCTTCGGGCGCGCTTCGAGCCGATCGCGGCTTCTATTTCGGCGCGTCAGAAATTGCGCACTTGGCGGCAGCTCGGATCGGTTCAAGACTATACGAGTGGTTTTCTCGCATTATGCGAGCAAGTCGGCTACATGCACGAAGCGGAGCGGGTGGACCGTTACGTCGGAGGGCTGAAGTCGGACATCTCGCACGAAATCATGCTACGCGGGCTCTCGAACTTCAACGAGATTCTCGCGCTAGCCGAGAAAATCGACATTTTACGCCGTCCGAGACCGGGGTTCTACTATGGACATCGTCCTCGGGGACCGATCGAGCACGCCACTGTACATGCTGTTGCGATGAATGCAGCTGCCGCGCCGTTTAAGGGGCGCTGTTTTGCTTGCAACAGGCCGGGCCATCGCAAGAGCGAATGCCCAGAGGAGCTAAGGCGCCGCGGAGCAGAGCAGGGGAGGGAGTCTCCAAGGCAGGGAAACGCCAGCAGTCAGTAGGAGTCGGGCCAACTACTGACGAGACTGCCTGCTCACCCAACCACGCCGACCCTCACCGAGTCACAGTACCGATTCACGCCATCGATCGGGCTCGGATGAATAAGGAGGGTACAGCGACGGATTGCCCAGTACTGATCCACGGGAAAATACAGGGAGCAGCAGTGAAGATTTTTATCGACGGAGGAGCAAGCCACAGTTTAGTTAATACCGCAACCGCACGAAAACTGCAGCTGACACTTAGTCGTTGCTTACCGGAGATAGACGCACGCTTAGTCGACGGCACGCCGCTGGCCATACGGGAGAAGGTAGAGAGAGTCAAAGTCCGCTGCGGGGGGAATTTCGGGTTTACACAGGAAATGCTCGCAACGACACTGGATGGGCACGATATTTTTCTGGGACGCGATTGGCTGCGACGGTATAATCCGCGAATTGACTGGACGACGGGTAGCTGCACCGTGCGAAGTGGTGGTAACTGGGTCCAACTACCTCGCTGGCAGTCACCCGAGTCTTCAACGGTGCACGTCAACGCCATCACAATGAAACGGGCTGTTGCTGCTGGCGCTGACGTGTACGCAGTAGACATCGCAGTAGTAGAGGAAGCCGAGCAACCGAGCGATTTCAAGAAACTGCTGGCAGCTGTACCGCCCGAATTACAGGAACTGTTGAAACGGTACCCCGGGATTTTCCCCGACGACTTACCGGAAGGATTGCCCCCTCAGCGAGCACATGACCACCGAATCGAATTAGAACCAAGGGCACAGCCAACCGTACAGCGCCAGTTCAGACTGACACAGCCCGAGCTCGACGAACTAAGGAAGCAGTTAGATTACCTGTTAGAGAAAAATTTCATCCGACCGAGTTCGTCACCATTCGCCGCACCGATACTGTTCACGCCGAAAAAAGACGGGGGTTTTCGCATGTGTATCGACTACAGAGCACTGAACAGGGTAACAGTCAAGTCGCGATACCCCATCCCCCGCACCGACGAACTGATCGACCAACTGCGAACAGCACGGGTGTTTTCGAAAATAGACTTACGGGGGGGTTACCATCAGATTCGGGTCGAACCATCGAACTGCGCCAAGACAGCATTTAGGACTAGGTACGGGTCGTTCGAGTACACTGTGATGCCATTCGGGCTGACCAACGCACCGGCGACTTTTCAGATGACCATGAACGAGGCATTTAGGCCGCTCTTAGATAAATGTGTCATAGTTTACCTCGACGACATCCTAGTTTACAGTCGGGATAAGCAGCAGCACTTAGCGGATCTGGAAGCGGTTTTTAAGGTTTTAGACGAGTATCGCCTAATGATCAAGGGTTCCAAGTGCGAGTTCTTCCAGGATAGGTTAGAATTTTTGGGGCACGTCATTTCGGAGGCTGGAGTTGAAATCGACCCAAAGAAGCTGGATACGGTAAAAGCGTGGCATCCCCCGACGAACATCACGGAGCTGCAGAGCTTTTAGGGTTCGTTAATTATGTGCGTCGGTTCGTCCCCGATATGGCACGGTTAACTGCCCCGCTAACGGATTTACTACGGAAGGGGGTCGCTTTTACGTGGGGGGAGAAAGAGCATGCTGCCTTCTCTGCCCTGAAAAATGTTATCTGTTCACCGCCCATCCTACACATCGCCGACCCACACCGCCCATTCGAAGTAGTTACCGACGCAAGCGATATCGCCATCGGAGCCGTACTGCTACAGGATTTCGGCAATGGCCTACAGCCTATCGCATACGAGTCACGAAAACTGCATCCGCCCGAGAAAAATTACCCGATACACGACCGCCAAATGCTTGCGATCGTGCACGCGTTCAAAATATGGCGCTGTTACTTGACTGGCGCGGACGTGACAGTACGGACAGACCATAAATCACTACAGTACCTTCGCGCACAGCCACACCTCAACCCACGACAGATTCGCTGGCTCGATTTCCTCGAGTCCAACTTTCATTACACGGTCACTTACAAAAAGGGAGCCTCGAACATCGCCGACGCACTGACCCGCCCCACTGCCCAGATCCACGCAATACTACTCGCCCAGACCAGCCCGCTACTGACAGGACTATTTACCCACGGATATCAAACGGACCCATTTTTCACAGGAGGAAATTCACAGCAGTTCGCAGCAGCCAAAGGAGTCTATTACGTAAAAGCTGGGACCGACCGCATCTGGGTACCAGGGTACACACTGCTACGGGAATTACTGTTACATGAGGCACACGACGGGGTTACCTCGGGACATTTCGGGGTAGAGAAAACACGGCAGCAGCTGCAGCGGTATTATTACTGGCCCGAAATGTTGACCGACGTGCAGCGACACGTGGCATCGTGTCCCACTTGCCAGATCATGAAGTCAACACGGAAGCGGCCGGCGGGACAGTTGCAGCCAATCCCACCTCCCGAACGTGCTTGGCAGCAGGTGACGATGGACTTCGTCACGGGGTTACCGGCCGGGGCGAGTGGGAATGACGCGATCCTGGTCGTCGTCGATCGACTGACGAAAATGGCACACTTCGCAGCCTGCAAAAAATCAATCACAGCCGAAGAAACAGCCCGCCTCTTCATCTCTACCGTCGTTCGACTGCACGGGATACCAGCATCGATCATCAGCGACAGAGACACGAAATTCACCAGCAACTTCTGGCGGAACCTGTGGCAGCAGTTCGGCACGCGACTACAGTTTAGTTCATCGTACCACCCCGAAACAGATGGACAGACAGAACGGACAAATCAGACCATGGAACAGCTCATCCGGGCCACGTGCGACGACCCAAACACGTGGGAACAGCAACTGCCACTCATCGAATTCGCATACAACAACGCCCCATCCGCCACGACCCAACAGTCACCGTTTTACCTGAACTACGGACAAGACCCAACAGTACCCATGACCCCGAATCCCGACAACCCGGTTCCACGCGCGCAACAGTTCGCCGAAATTTTGCAAGCAGCACGGACCAGGGCAGCAGACGCAATTAAAAAAAGCTAACATCATCGCTAAACGCAACGCCGACCGCCACCGCAGACCGGTCACTTACCAGCCCGACGACTTAGTTTTGCTCGACACCCAGAATCTCCGACTGCCCATCACCCCGAAACTCCGCCCCCGATACTGTGGGCCATTCCGCATAAGCCACATGCTCACACCCGTCACCGCCCACCTCCTCCTCCCTGCTGACTGGTACGTCAGCCCCTCATTCCACGTCAGCCTGCTTCGCCCTTACGTCCCGTCCACGAGCCAACTGCCACGCAATCGCCCAGCTAGCATGACAAGACCACCAACCGAACCGATCATCACCCCCGAAAAAATCTTGAGTCACAGAGTTCGCGACCCTTGAGGAGCCCGAAGGATCGAGTTCTTACTCCGCTGGAAGGACCGTACACCCACCGAAGACAATTGGGTTCCCCTGGATAGAATCGAAAACCACCCCGTCGTCACCGAGTATCTGCGCAGCCGAAATTTCAGGGATGTACACGCACTTTCGTAAGGAGGACCTCCTTAAGCGGGGGGGGGGTAGTGTAAGGAAAAACTCTTTTTCCTTACTTCGCATCCCTGCTCAACGCGTACATCCCTGTAGCACCACAGTCAGCACCGTTACCACTCGCAGTCCTCGCATCGACAATCCGCCCGCCACCTTCGCACGTCGCACCCCGACCTCACGGCTCGGCGGGTAACCCGCGCTCCGGGCCTCCGCTTCGACACTTTTTCCTACCTCAGTCCCAGGCCCGTCGCGCGACAACCACAGTCCATTACCGTTACCACTGTAGTTTCGCTATATATTCTTCGCTCATGCCTTCGCTCATTGTACTCTTGCTTCAATAGTGCAATTCTCGTTCGTTCACTCAATTGCACTCGTAACACTTAGCCAGTCTCCACCTTGTCACCACTGTCTTCCCTTAGGGCGTATTCCTACGGCCTCCTATCAAAGGCCACCTCCTATCAAGATTGTACTTTTGCCTGGTAAAAGTAACGAGAGATTTTGGGTTTAGGGGATTTTCCAGTGTGAGCTTGATAAGAGGTTCAGTTGATAGGAGGATAGGAATACGCCCTTACTCTCCCTCCACCCCCATTACCCCTTCCCCCTCCTACCCTTCCTCCTTCCAAACACCCTCCCCATCACATCCTCCTCCTCCTGCTCCATCCAGCTACTCCTTTCTCAACACTGCCTCCTCTGCAATCCAGTTCCCATCTTACATTCCCTCTTCTCACTCCTCTGATGCCTCACCCTCCACTGCATCTACTACTGATTGAACCTGCTTCCCAAGATGAGCCACCTGTTGCTGCAAAACAGCCACCTCCATAGCCACGGCGAGCGCGCGCGCGAATCTGCTCTGCGCCGATCGCAGAGTCGGATGCGCCAATCCCGCCAGGGGTAGCGGCTTCCCGTGACTCACACCCGCCGCAGATCTCGCTTCTGGGTGACCGGAATCTTGAGCATTTCCGATGGATGGGATTCGATGATCAGAAAGTGGTTCTGAAAGAGCGGAATCCGTCTCGTGGCGGATCCAGCAACCGACGCAGCCTCTGCTGTTGCCGGCGCCACCACTGCTGCCACCGCTGCTGCTGCTGGTTGAGTCACTTTTGCAAGAAAGAGCGCACGGCCACCGGATCTGAAAATCTGGACACGTGGCGCTTTCTTCTTCAACGCGAACCCTGACAAGCCTAGGATCGGCTTCTCGTTCCTCTTCATCGTCGCTGACTCCATTCGCATCACCTGGCGACGCCCTGTGCGCAATCGCACACCCGACGAGATGCATCAGCCCACCGTCGCCCAGAGGCGACGATGCGTGACTGTAACGAGCGGCGGCGAGATCCATCCAGCCATGCTGCAGCTGAGTCGCGAGCACGTGGCGCAGCCGCACGACGGCGTCGGTGCTATCCAACAGCTGTAACGTGGAGGACTCCATTGTCTACAAACAGGCTGTTTCGTTACGCGCAAGTGGTAACCCAAGCAACACGAAACGAATGTGCCAGCTTGTGGTGGAATAGAGTTGTGCCCCTCCACGTGAATCTGTAGGGGCACGAGCGAGAGGGGCGGAAGGAGGAGGGGTTGCGCCTGGACCTGGACTAATGTGCGGAATGAGATTCACGTGATTGTCCCCCGTGTCAACCGTATGCAGCCTCGGATTGGACAGAACTACATCCGAGTCTGCTTTGCAGGGTAGGTGGATTCTGTGAACCTGGAACTTGTGAAGGGAGCTCAAGGCCAAAATTGTGGCTAGGCAAATATAAAACGCCGTGTACGCGTAAAACTGCACATAGAACACACACAAGGTATGTACTAGAACGAAAGAACGATCTATTTGTGACAAAACAGAATAATCAGGTCAGGTTTGGCTTGTGAGCTCATTGGTTGAAGTCCAACCATGGCCAATGATCAGGTCAGGTATGGTAAAAACAGAAGGAAATTCGGTTTGCCTACCAAGGGGCCGTGCATCTCCGCCTGGCGGAGCATGCCATCGACCTGAATCCCGCCCGCTCCGTCAAGCGCGTTCCAGCCACAAATCACCCTGCAGAATTTCCCCCGTCGCTCCCGCCTCACACCAGTCCCCTCAATCCCCCGACAATTCTGTGGTGTCTCCTTCCCCTCAAGCAGCCAGCTGGACTGCCTTCGCCTCCCTAATCTGCTCCGCATTCATCCGCACCCTCCCCCCCTTTCCCCCCCATTGTCACCCCCATCCTCCCTCATCTCTCCCCGCAACTTCTCCCTCCTCCCGTCTTACCGCGCTCTTCCCCCCCATCCGTTTCTCCCTTTCGAGAGCTCCAGATTTCAGTTTTGCATTGGTGTTGACGAGACAAGGAGGGTTTCCTTGGTGCTTGTTTCTAGAACCTGCCAGTTATTTTGCCGTCTAATCTCTCCACCAGGCTTCGCTAAGTCAAATGTGCACTCTACTTCCTCCCTGTCACTTGTCTGTGCTGATATTCTCGTAATAGCGGGTTACCATTATGCTCCCTGTTATCATCCCTCCGCAAGGAGGCTTTCGGCTTCTGTCCGAAGTGCCATTGTTGGATTCGCCTCGTCTCAGCCTGGTAGGCTTGCGAAATAGTCGCGGGCCGTTTCAATGTCGGGCGAAAACTTCATCTTCAGCTACTTGGGCCTCTATTCCACATAAGGTTAGAAATTTTAACAGTTTTTCCTCTCCTAACTCCAGCTTTTTCCGAAATATTGAACAGCTTTTCCGTGTCACAGGCGTCAGTCTGACGTAAATTTCTGTTATCTTTATGGATTTATCTCTTTGAATTCCCGAACTTCAGTGTTTGCCTTTATCCCGTCCCCCTCTGCCTTTCCCAGGAGCATCACTACGGGCATTTGTCTGTCGGTCAAGACCACGGACGAACAGTACGCGGTCCGACCGTTGTAAAACACGAGAATGACGTCGACAATGACTCATTCGATAACGGAGTTCTCGGTGACAGTAACCGTAACCTCCACACGAACAGCGCTTTATCTCATGGCGAGAAGATTACGGTTTCAGTGCGAATTCACTCCGTGTCCGCCGGAGAAACCGTTTCTTCCATTGCATCCAGCTACTCCATTCCTGTAGAAGCTCTTCTCGCGGCTAACAGCAAGTCCTCGCCGAGCATTCGCGTCGGTGAGGTGCTTTATCTCCCGTCTTCTTCGGCACCTTCCGTCGCATCGTCGCAGCCGAAGGCTCTGTCGCCGTCTCAGGCGAACCCGGCGTCGCAGGCGAACTCGGCGTCGCAGGCGACCTCGGCGTCGCAGTCAGGGCGTTCCCAACACGTGTCTCTCCACATTCGTGAGAATCACGGAACGAGCTCCAGGCAGACCACTTTCCCATCCGGCGCTCAGGAATGCGTTCGTTTGTGCACGGACAGCAGCGGTACCATGGCCGACGGAACATCCCTTTCCACTGGGACCAGCAGTAGCAGCAGCAGCAGCTTCAGTGACGCAAGGGGGCCTAGCGCGGCTGCTGCTGCAGCTTCTGCGGGACGAGTGTGTATCACTAGCTGCCGGGAAGCTCCCACTGGCAGGACAACGGGAATGAGGATGCGGGTGAGGGGATGGCTAAAGAATTCCTCCGGTGCTGGCAGTGTGAGTCCTAATTCTCGTGTCATTGTGTCGCCCGCTGCTCCGTCCGAGGGGGTCTCGCCTTCTCTGCTGGTAACCTCCGCCCCTGCTGCTTCCGCGGCTGCTGTCGCTGATGCTGCTCCTGCTGCTGCTGTCGCTGTTGCTCCTGCTGGAGGTTCTACTCATGCTGCCGGCGCTCCTGATGCTCACTCCCATGCTGACACTGTTGCTGACACTCCCTCTGACACGTCTGCTGCCGCCGAGTACGACAAGCGCCGTTTCACCGACGAGCTGAGCGGTTTCGCGAACTTCTTCGCTGCAAGAAAGCATCTCAGCCGGACCATGCATCTTGACGGATGGAAAAAAGGCTCTGGGGGAACCCATGCAGGAATTGACGGAACAGGCCCAAGACAGGGCGTGGTGGCGTCTGTGACACAGGCGTTTGTTCCTGTAAGAGCGGGTGAGGTGCAGCAATCGCTGCCGTTGATTGGCCTCGGAGTCGCTATCACTGTAGCTGCTGGAGCTCTTGCTGTTCGCTCGGGATTGCATGGTCTGGTCCATGCGGCCGTGCTGCTGCGGCTGCAGGGTTTCTCGCAGAAGCAACATGACCAGAGACAGCAGCAGCAGGAGCGAGAGAAGGAGCAGCAGGGGGAGGGTAGTGAGCAGAATGGGGGAAGAATAAACGAGCAGGAATCACTCCAGCGTGTGAAGGACGAGAAACGGCTAGAGTTTTCAAAGAGGGCTCTCAGGAACTACCTAGACCTGCAGAAACGGGAGGTGAAACGGTCTGGCATGGAGGGAGCTGCTCTGCGGCTCAAGATGAGAATGGCCAAGGCGAATGGGAAGGATCCTCTACCATTCGCCCCTTTACAAGATAAGATGGGCCCGCGCCGAAACGTGATGGCCGAAATCCGGAGTGTTGTGGCCGAGGCGGTGGCAGAGGTGGTAGAAGGGGAGGAATGCACGGTTGTGCTTGAGAGGAGTAAGGCGCAAGTGAAGGACGTAGAGAGCACCGGGGAGCCGATGGTAGTGGAGAAGAGGGTTATTATGGAAAACGATACTGGTCGAGGGGCAGAGGAGGCGGGAAGAATGATTGAGATGATGGAGAAGGGATGGTATGGTGGAGCTGTTGAAGCAGAGTCAGGAAGAATGACGGGTCCTGAAGGGGACGAGTATGGGCTGGGAGAGGTGGGGCCGGAGGTATTTCTGGAGTGGAGTGTGGAGAAGGCTAGGGAGGCTAACGCTCATGCTGCCATGAGACTGCCAATAAATACAAATGAAAGAGGCTAAGAATGCTGGATGCAGCTGAACAGGAGCCACGGGACTCCTGGATGAGAAACTACTGACATGACAGCACAAGGCCTGTATTTATACTGACAGTGCAACTGAATTGCATTGACAGTAACAATCTGAGTTTAAGATGTAGTTTGTGTGTTGGTGACTATACTGCGGGATATAACTCCTTAATGCTTGTGTTTGATCATTTACAGATTGCAATCTATATGTTCTGTGGAGTTGGATTATTTGAAGAGAATCTCAAAATTGTTTCACATAATGCGGACAGTTTGCAATGTTCGTGTTTACCCAGAGACATTCAAACGAACATTCTAAAGAGGGGTGCAAGTGGCCGTCGAGCCCCAGTTTGAAAACCAGGGTCTGACAAGAATGAGTGCGAGGCGGCTCGAGCGAAGCCATACGTGACATCTCCTCCTGATTGGTGTTGACATCTCATGCCATCCACATCATGCTTTGCCAAGGAAAGCCAGCCTCATTACGCCACTTTTCGGCGCTGAGCCTGCCCCACATCAGCATGCTCAGCCAGCAGCCCCTCGGAATTCGGGTCATGTCATGACATGTAACACTTTTCGCATTCATGCTGATGTTTCGCACCTGGCTACCCTTTGCCGCGAACGGTCGCACAGCGCGCGCAGCCCTGCACAGTTCCGTCGGCGCGCGCTGCAGCGCATCACTGTTGCCGCTTTCCTTCACTTTTACTGGCCGAATGTTTCCCGCTTCCCGCCTGTCAGTGGAGCCTGCCCATTCACTTCGCTACGGCTTCCCCTCGGCTTGCAGTAGCTTCGCATGACGAGCAACTCTGCTTGTCGCTGCCTTCGCTTTCCTGTCGCTGTCTCTCGTGCATTCCACCACAGACCCTTCTGAAATCTTCCTACTTCCTCCCAACCCACCCCTATCCTTCCAACTTCCCTTCACTTCCCTTCCCTTACCAATTTGCCATCCACTCTCACCTTGTCCTCCATGAGCACTTCACGAGTTTCTCGACATTCCCTAGGCAGCGAAATCTACTGGTGGTCTCGATAACTCGGTTTCTCCGAGTCCATGGCTTCCTCCGCTGTGACTACAGCTTTATTCATGGCTTAATCATTAGGCTAATTCGCACTCCCGTTGATGGTAGCTAAATACTTATAATTAGTCGGAGTTACGACGCTCAGCTCAGCTCTCCAAGCAGACCATCAGCCTGATGATTCAACCCTCAAAAGTTACGACGGTCGTTCGGTAGTTACCATCAGACTTACAACATCGGACCTTACGCAGATTAGATTCGTTAAATTAAGAATATCGGTGGATTTCCTCCAAGACATCAGCTCCTAATGTTCGTCGAATCCATATGCTCGCTCGACTGACATTTCAGTTCATCAAATCTTATTACTGAGCGTCACGCTCTTCTTCGAGTCGAACGCGCATCAGCACTTTCGTCAGATCTTCAACCTGAAGCTTCCTTCCTACGCTCGTGTCGCCGGTCGTGATTCCTACGAAGTGTACAGCAGTTGATCCGGAATCTGAATCGATACTTCTTCCTACGACGCCGTCGGTCATGCGTCTTCCTCGCACATCTCGCTCGCGACGCTACGACGGATGTGAGGAGTTTCTTTTCGGCTAGTGTTACAGCATCATCGGAGTCCGAATCTCGCAGCATGCTCCATGGCTGACGCAGCAAGCATCAATTGATCTCGCAACATCCACGGCCGCCTGCATTAACTACCGACGCTTGTGACGTTAAAGCTAACAAGGACGACGTACGGCGCATACCACGCGAAGACTCTTCGGACGTCCGACAATGACGAATAAGCTACTTACGGGAAAGCAAGCAGCTTCGAAATGTTGACGCTAAAGCTCGCGAAGGCGTTGACGCACGCCACGAAGGAGGACCTCGCGACGTTACCACGGAACAACACTTTTTTCGTGAAATCGAGTCCGCGAACTTCGCAGATGGAGGGCGGAGGAGCTCGCGACGCTGGTTCTACGGAAAAGCTTCGTCGTTATTCGACTTCCGCCATCGGACTGATCCGTAGTGCTCTTCGACGCCTGATGGAGGAGCTCGCGACGCGGAACGACGCAAACGGAGGAGCTTGCGACGCGGACCGACGCTAACGGAGGAGCTCGCGACGCGGAACGACGCTTACGGAGGAGCTCGCGACGCGGAACGACGCAAACGGAGGAGCTCACGACGCTGAACGGAGGAGATTGCGACGCTGAACGGAGGAGATTGCGACGCTGAATGGCGGAGGACACGTCGACGTTCGAGCCGTTTTCGTCTGACGCTTGTGGTGAGTTTTCATCCAACGCCCGACCTCTTGGTTAAACGTTTCCTGTTGCTATTTCAGGCTCGTTTCCGTTGCTATCTCGACATTCCAGTTCTCATTTCAGATTCGTTTCCGTTGCGCTGCAATCTGTGTTACGATAAGAATGAATTGATAGAAAATGTGAAGTACAACCCTAGATATAGCAAACCCTAATCATGCAAGTAAGTAGAAATGTAACACCTAGACTAACCTAAACAACACATATAAAATATATGTTGACACACCCCCATAGTCTAGGTGACGGAAGTCCTGTAGAAACAACAAGAGCAAGCAACAGTCACAAGACCAGTCTACAAGAACAAGACAAATTTCAGGGTGGAGCTCAAAGTCACCACACACTCCGAGAGCAAGCAAGGGGCCACAAGGCCAGTCCACATGCAGGTATATAGCAAATATAAAGAGATGCAAGAGTACAAGACATGCAGGACAAGGCATCTCTAAGCAAGCAAATGAGGACGGGCAGGCACAAGGCCAAGCTGGGTGCAGAAACGCTGGTGGTCACAAGGCGGCAACGCCTTGGTGAAGATATCTGCCGTGTTGGCCTCAGAGACCACACGTCGAACGAGTGCATGTCCACGCTGCTGCAACTCACGCAGAAGGAAGTAACGAAGCTGGATGTGCTTCGCCTTCCCAACCAGTCGGGGCTCCTCACACAACAGGACAGCAGACCTGTTGTCGGCGAACAAGACTGGGGGAGAGCGAGGCCGCTCACCAAGGTCGGTGAGAAGGAAAGACAGCCAGCGAAGCTCCTGAGCGGCCATGGCCGCAGCGTACACCTCTGCCTCACAGCTGGAACCGGCGACGGACGACGCCCGAGTCGACCGCCACGAAACAGCACCTGCCCCGAGGCTAAAGGAGTACCCCTGTGTAGACCGACGCGTCTCCGCGTCGTCGGCCCACGACGAGTCCGAGTAACCTGTGAGTGTAACTGGCTGCTTCCCTCCAAGGACAAGTCCCATGCCTGATGTACTCGCCACATACTTCGCCACCCTCTTAGCAGCGTACCAGTGGGAAGGTCGGTGTCTCCCAGGCGCAACAAAGCGCGCAAGGACGCTAAGAGGGTAAGCTAGGTCTGGGCGAGTACAGGTCATCAGGTACATGGGACAACCCACCAGCTCAGGATATGGACCACTGGACTCAAATGACTCGTCCGAAGGTGGAGCCGTGAGCCCATGATCCACACCAAGAGGGGTGAGCTGTACCTTGGAGAACGGGAAGCGAAACCGCGTGAGGATCTGCTCGACCATATGCGACTGAGTCAGCGTAATGGTGCGAGCTGCCCTGTCCCTGGTGATCTGCAGGCGAAGGTAGTGCTGCAGCTCACCAAGGTCAGTGCAAGTATGTCTCCTCTGCAGTTCCTCCTTCACGGAGGCCAGCGTGCGTCGGTCGGGAGTGGCGAACACTAGGTCGTTGACGTAGACCAGGACAAAGAACGGGGTCGAGCCACGGCGAACGAACAGTGACGGGTCAGCAGACGACGGAAAAAAGTCAAGAGCTGCAAGGGTCGAGCGAAGTGTGTCGTGCCACTCACGTGGGGCCTGACGCAGGCCGTAGACTGGTCGACGCAGCTGCCACTGGGTCCCAGGTGGGAAAGAGCCAGTGAAGCCAGGCGGGCGACGCAGCCAGATCTGCTCGTGCAGGCTCCCCTGAAGGAACGCGGTGGAAAAGTCCAAGGAGTGCAACTCGTAGTCGCGCTGGGCTGCAATATGCAGCAACACCCGAAGAGTACTCATCTTCGGGGTGGGAGCGAAGGTCTGGAAGAAGTCCACCCCCTCTCGCTGACTGAAGCCTCTCGCAACATAGCGCGCCTTGAACACAGGTGGTGATCCAGGCGGCCGCTTCACCTTGTAGAGCCATCGGCCACTGACGACATTCGTCCCAGGTGGTGGGACTGCGTCGACGTAAGTGCCTGTGGACCTATAAGATGCCATCTCTGCCTCCTCAGCTGCTATCCAGTACGAAGCCCAGGGTCCCGAGACCGCCTCGGCGTGAGTGCGAAGGATCGGGATGTCAAGGGCGTCTGGATCCCCCTCAGGGGCAAGCAGCATGGCGCAGAGATGAGGAACAGCGGCCGCAAGGAAACCAAGCTTGAACTGCCTGTCCTCTACGACCTCCAGGGGAAAGACAGGAGCACCCCCAGAGGACGGAGAACGTGCAGGGCCACTCACCAAGTGAGCGGCGTAGTCAAGGCGGTGGGAAGAGGCAAAGCCAGAGACAGTGGTAACAAGTGCTGAGACAGACGACAGAGGTGCAGTCGGGTGAGTGACCAACGCGGACAAAACACGGGAGACGACAGGACGGGAGGCACGGAGGTAGTCGGACAACGGGTCGTGAAGCACAGTGAGGGACGACTCAGGGGGCTGTGGAAGGACAGGAGGAGGTGGAACACGAGAGCGGAGAACAAGGTGAAACGGACCGTCTGCACGGTAACGGGACCGACGGGGGTGTGGAGACACAGCACGACTGAGGGGAGGACGACGAGTCCACTGGGAGGAGGAAAGGGACTCAACTGGTGGAACAGGAGGGGACGGTAGGGGACCACGAACAAAGCGTGCAGGTGCTGGGTCGGGGAGGTCGCGTAGTCGCAGTCGCTGCTGCTCCGCCTCCTCTGGCGTCTGCTGCGACGGTACCGGCCCTTGCTGCTGCTCCTGTGGCTCCGCCTCTGCCCTCTCCTGCTGCGGCTGCAGC